ATCCTTCGCTAGAACTGAGATAAAGGCTTCGATACCAAATTGTAAGCCACAAATTTTTCCTTTCCAATTTGCCAGCTTACCTCGCCTATCCGTCCAACACCGCCTTGGCTTTTGCTAAGTTCCCTCGCCAAGGTTCTCGCCTATGGTACCAGCTCCTACTTGGTCTCAGCTACTCACTGCACGAGCAACGGAGTGTTAGCCATCCATCCACGGATTCCCAATTCACTCCCAATCCCCCTCCCTGGGTTAGACTAGACTTAAGGTTCGGCTACACTCCCCGCAAGCACAAGCAGCCAAGCACACCAAGCTTCCAGGTTCCTAACATCCTTTGGTACCACAAGACTTGATCATGGGACCCTCTAAATCCCAAGTCTTGAGTGCAACACTTGCTTCGGGACGCCGGGGCGAAACACCGTGGCCTAGCGGCCCGGTATGGGTACCTCTCGCCCCCCACTTCCATCCCGAAGGAAGGCCCAAGCCCCTAGGAAGGGCGAGGACCAATGAGCCGCATGGTACTCAAGTGGGGCACCACTCCACTTGAGCCGGGAGCACCGCAATCGGTTTCCCTTTCGGGAGTGGGAGCTGCTCTTGAGCACTTCCTTGGATGGCCCCTCCGGCACCAACCAAGTCCGTGCTCACTCCCACCCAAGGCCCCTCGGTCCCAGTCCCAACCTCAAGTCAGTTTGGGAGCCCCACTGGAGAGTCCCTTCTAAACTGGTTCCTAGACCTCACTATCCCTACTATACTTTTGGAACCCCCTGCAGCCCCCCCCCCCTGGGAGACGCACGCTTTGGGCTTTCACCCCTTGACCCGTATTAGTATTTGGACTTAGTCTCTGGCTCGATCTCGGACCCGATTTCGGATCCGACTTCGGATTCGGGTTCGGACTCGATCTCGGACTCGATCTCGGACCCGATCTCGGACCCGACCTCGGACTCGACCTCGGACTCGGTCTCGGACCCGATTTCGGATCTCGGACTCCGTCTCGAACTCGGTCTCGAACTCGGACTCGAACTCGGTCCCCGAGTCGGTCTCGGACTCGATTCCGGACTCAATCTCGAACTCGGTCCTAGAGTCGGTCTTGGACTCGATCTTCGACTTGGTCCCATCCGATGAACTCTTTGTCATTTTGGTCATTCTTTCGGGGTTCCTTTAGCCTACGACACCTCGGCGAGTTGGTTCCTTACAGAAAGATGGAGGGGTCACTAACTTATTCGCGCAAGGTCCCTCCATTACTCGCGCGACTCCTCGTTTCCCGGATGCACCTCGGTGTCCAAACCTTCCACCGCAGCAGCACCAATGGGACGTTGCTGATGCCAAGGTCTCCACCCAGGAAATGGAGGTCGCCAATCCAGAAAGCGCCGACAACGCCGATAAGTATGACCAACTTCATCACACGCCCAGCAACGAACATCATGGCCACAACCACGTCCTCGCCTTTGTCCTTGGACTCGAGTAGCAGCAGCATCAACCTCCATTGGAATAGGACCATCACTCATAGGAAGTGGAGCGGAAGGACGTGCAATGAGAAGTGGAAGAGGCGACATCTCATAACGTTGTGCCAAGCGAAGAGCATCATCAAGGGTGGCAGGAGCAAGTGCATGCACAAGGCCGACAAGATCTTGACGAAGTGCTGGCCACAACATTCCTATCTTGATCTGCTCTGACATATTGGGCTCCACACGAAGCAAAAGACTTCGGAAACGAACACCAAATTGCATCACCAACTTAGATGGCCCTTGGCGAAGACGATACAATTGTTGGAAGGCATCGTCACAATCGTCGGCATGTCCGAAGGCGCATTTGAAGACATCCGGAAGAACACTCTAATTCTCACGAGTGGCTGCACTCAATCCATTGTACCACTGCAACACCGTCCCTTAAAGACACGTGGGAAACTCACACAAACGTCGAGCATCATCCCAAGAATGATATGCGGCAATCACCATGAAGTGATTGAACCAATAGTACACATCATCCCCAGGATTCCCATGAAAGAACTCCGGCCAAACGCGAAGATTGGCACCAAGAGCAGGAGGAGTTGGACCATGTGTCGTAAATGCCGCCATCAATTGAGTTTGGTTGTTTAATTGCAAGCGCATAGCATCAAGCAATTGGACCAACTGCTGCTCTAGAGTCAAAGGAGGAGATTACTGATCTGCCATGAAGATGGATGAAGAAAGAGCAAAAGAATAGAAACAACAAAAAATGATAAGGAAATGGGAGATTTAGATAAAGCAAAAAGCTAGATTTAAACCAAAATCTTGAAAGGGAAGAACAAAAGAAAGGAAATGGAAAAAGCTAGATCTAGACAATACAAAAGCTAGATTTAAACCAAAATCCCAAATTCAAGCACTCCTCAGGGACAATCAAAGGTGTCTTTCATCTCCACTAATGTGAATGCTTGGAATATGGAAAGGGAATACAGAAATGTGCATATCAATTAGCTCAAAAACCCTAGTTTATATACAGGAGCAAGTGGTCTGGATTGAAACCAATCTGACGGCTACCAAAATCCCACTACGCTAATATTAGTATACGGCATTGTAGCCGTACACTTGGCCCTCACAATACATATAAAACTTTTAGGTTTCTAATTACTAAAAATTTTATTTATTGTATGTGACAAAAATTTGAAGTTCTAAAAAACTTATGAATTATTTAAATAAAAGATACTATGACAAAAAAATTAAAGATTTTTATTCCCAATAAAATTCTTAAAAACTCAAGAGTTATATATTTATGTGTTTTATATATGATGTAATAAAGAAGACCAGTTATATATAGTAAAATATTACCTTTAATCCTTTATAATTTAGTAAATATTTTCAATTAATAATATCTAGAAACTTATTTTTTAAATGTTGATTCAAATATTGTTTTATTGAAATAATTTTATTTTTATTACATTCATAAGGAAATTTTAATAATAATCACAATTATATCATATATATATATTTATAGAATCATTTTAGTAATTTTTTAGTAATTTGAAATTTTATTTTTATCTTCCTAGTTCTATCTTAAGTCTTATTTTTATGTTAAGTCATTTATATTAATTTTATAAAAAATGAGATAAATCTAATAAATTTATGTTTTAATATTTATAATATATAACTTTATATGTTTACTTACTAAATTATTTTTGGTCCTTTATATGATTAAGATATTAATTTGTACCAAATTATGAATTTTTTAAATAAAAAACTACCACAGAAAAATATTTATAATTTACCTTTATTGCATTATATAGAAAACATATAAATATATATCTTTTGAGATTTTAAAATTTTTATTGAGTAAAAATTTTTTGATTTTAGAAGTTTTCTTCACAATCCACTCTATATATTAATACCGAGAAAAAAAAATCAAATATTATACACTTATATATTGCAAAATGTTGTATTTAATCTTTTTTTTTAGTAAATATTATAAATTTATTAATATCCAGAAACTTATTTTTAAAAATCTGAATTCAAATAATTATTTTATTAAATTATGTTTTATGTTTTATTAAAGTCATAAGAAACTTTCATTATCACAATATTCACCATGTAAATTATGCTTTTAGATATTATTCCCTTTTGGTTACAACCATAAATTATAACGAATGGATTGATAGTTATTGTAAAAAGGAGGTAAAACAAGGCTTTTATTGCTATTGCCATTGTTATTTAACTTACCATAACTCACAAACTTGCTAGAGTGCACCTTCTAAAATTATTACCACACCAAAGGATGACTATTTTTTGACTTTTAAATTACAAATTAGCTATAATTGGCTATAACTCCTTCTAATCTAAAAGAAAGGAGCTCCTTCTTTAACTTACTTGTGCTTCAATTAAGAAATGAAATGGTATGAACAAAATATTCACTTTTTAGATGATAAGGGAAAAAGAGATGGATAAAAGACATGATAGAGAGAATAAATGTAATGTAGAGAAAGATTAAAAACTCTATTAGATTATTATGGTATATTTACTATCTCCACCACTCCAATTGGTGTAGGAAACCAAGATAATTAGCCATGCTAAAAACAATAACTAGAATGAAATTTCAATGGGATCTAATTTAGTTCAAACTATTTAGTCACTATTAATTTGATTCTATTCTTTTTTCTTAACTTGCATAAAAACCCTTCAAATATAACATGCCTTTTGAAGTTTAACAACACTTCAAAAGGAGAGGGAGTTTTCAACACAATCAACCTTACACTTATCAATGAAAGTTATAATTGATAGCATAATCTAGGAATATAGGGTCATTAAAGTACAAATAGGCTCATTTGTGAGATCCTTATCTCACTAGAGAAAGACATTTCTATAATGCTATAACTAGAAAGTGAATATTATCACATTATCAAAGTCTAGAGTCATATATTTTATTTGGCATACATGATTGCTGCAACTCTTGAAACAACTAAAGTGCAATGCATTGAACTTTCTAGACTACCTTGGTAGTCCATCAAACATCCTCATTTTATTTTTGGCATTTTGGATCCATCGGAGAGCCTTTCTACGCCTCCCATTGGGCTTCTGGAAGAGAGCTTTTACACCAAGGATCCCAATGCTGCTTAGAACACACTTGTAGGCGCATACTCACAAAAGGAACATATAGTAATGGCATAATTTGTCTTTAACAAGAGAATTCTCTACCTATGGAATGCTATTGTACAAGCTTATGCCTCAAATGGGCATTTTGACTCTGCGAACCATCTCTTTGAAAGAATGCCAGGAAGAAGCGCCGTGACTTACACCGAGGTGTTGCTACGTTGCGGCACAAATGGAAAGATCATTGAATCGAAGCGATGTTTTGATGAGATGCATCATCGGACTCCAGTGTCGTGGAATTGCATGCTCATGGCCTACGCTCAGAACGAATGCCTGGACAAGGCCAAGAAAACCTCAGCCTAGCCCAGCAGGAAGTGGTTACCTGGTCGTCCATGGTACATTACCACGGTAGCGGCCTGTTTTTACAGTGCCTCACAGGCAAAGAGTCCGTATCCACTAGAAAACTTTCAACGATATATAGATATAAAAACGTGAATCTCAGACTTTTCTGTGTGAGTTGCAAAACGATAGACGTACCGCGCAACAGGCGTCTTTCTCATTGCGAGGCTTCTCCACAATCTTTTCATTCTCCTTTGATCACTGCTGCGATGACTCGATCTGTAGTTTCCTGCCCGAAGAGCCTCGGCATGTTTGCACCTAAATCCACCTCCACGGAATTCTTCCTCATCATGTCGTCTCTTTCCCGGAGAGAACTTATCTGGGCTTCACTCGTCAAAGTTCTTCCCAGCTCCGTGAACCCGTGCAGCCATATGGAGACCGCCTCCTCCACACACGGAGTGATAGACTCTTCCACCACTCCATCAAGTTCTTCCTCACCCTCTGCGGCAAACTTTAACAGTAACGCAGTCGGCGAAGCCATGACGCGTACGAAAAGCGAAGGCGAGACGTAGTACTCACACTGTGGAAGCTTTACCAGCTTGGCTCGCAGCTCGTCCAGCTTTGAGTCCTCGTAAAATCTTTTCAGGTACTCTGGATCCATGACGAGGTCCTTGCGGGGCATGTTGTCCACGCACAGAACAAGTGACTTGTAACCAGTTTGGATCAACTCCACCAAAAGATGAGGAGAATCAATTTCGGGCTCTAGAATGGTTTGAAGCGTCGTGATGTTGAGAGGCCCGAATGGAAGACTGGAGTGAAGCCACGAACCAAGAAGGAAACGAATCTAGAAAAGAACAATGGAAGTTTGCTTACTCAAAGTTTCTAAGCAAAATCTTCAATGGTACCTTGGAGCCTTGTTTCCCTGATCTTAACACCACCGATCCTTGGGAGACACCGTCCTGGCTCTGGAAAGACCTGACTTCCGGCGGCGTGAGCGTGGAATTGAGGAGCGAACCCAGCTCCCGGTCGAGCCTCGTGGCTAAACTGGTCATGAGCTTGTTCTTGGCGATGCTGAGCTTGGGGAACTCGATCCAGCTACCAGCGCAAGGCGGCGCCATGAAAGAGGATGGGCTACGAAACTTCCCTGGAGAAGTGGATTGGAGCTCGAATCGATTCTTTCTTTCCTACCTGGATGACAGCACGAGGTCGCCAATGCCATGCCCACAAAGATCAATGTCAAATTATCAGAAATCAAGTTGGTAATATGTGTTTTTAAATATAAAAAAGTATTTCTAAACAATGCAATAAAATTGTTTTATTTGCTAGAACGAAGAAACACTAAGTTGAGACATGCCCTCATTTCTTCACTGCTCCACTGATCCCGGCAGGTGTTCTATCGAGAAAGACATATCACTGCTGCTGAGCTCGGGAGACTTGATGTCTTCAATCAGCTTCACAACCTGGGCCATCTTGGGTCGCTGCTCCGGATTGGACGCAACGCAGTCGAGTGCAATCCTCAGCAGATACACCATCTCCTCCTCGGAGTTTCTCCTGTAGGTGACGAGCTCGTAGTCAAATACCTCGGCGGTCCACTCCTCGCGGACCGTGGAGTTGACCCACCTGGGCAGGTCAACGCTGCTGCCCTGCCTCGCCGCCACCCTGCCCGTCAAGAGCTCCAGCAGCATCACCCCGAAGCTGTAGACATCTGCCTTGTGCGTCACCTTCTTGGCCACAAACATCTCCGGTGCCCTGTAGCCATCGCTCGCCTGCGGACCGTTCTGGACGCTCGCAAACGGCAGCAGCCCAAAGTCCGCAATGCAAGCCTGCCCGTTTCCATCGAATACTACGTTGGTGGATTTCAAGTTGCCGTGTGGCATTGTTGGGCACTCCCGGTGAAGAAATGCCAGCCCCTGCGCTACGCCGTAGGCTATCTGTAGGCGATCCGGCCATGCCAATAGTTCCCGCTCGTTCGTTCCTCGGTTGGCTGTCCAGAGCACAAGCAAAAACTTGAGAGATAATTCCACGATTTGATTTACCAAGTTCCTTACCGTGCAAACGAGTGTAGAGGCTTTTGTTTGGGAGATAGTCGTAGACCAGGAGCTTCTCCTCTTGCGCGTAGTAATAGTAGGCCACCAGCGGAACCAAGTTTGGGTGCTTGAGCCTGCCTACAAGCGCAAGCTGCTTCTCAAACTCGGCTTTCTCCGTCAAGTTTCTGTCAATCAGCCGCTTTACAGCGAATACGACACCTTCGCCCAGGACAGCCTTGTACGTTGTTCCCACAGTGCCTTTGGGAACAAGCATCTCCGCAGATGCCCGAAGCAATTCTTTCAAGCCAAAGCTGTGTTGATTGTCCTCGGCAGCGAAAATTAGCCTCCCGGCTTCACCCTCCACTGATCCTCGCTGCTCCGGGAACTGCATGCTCGCCGAGTCTATGCTTTGCACCTCTCCGCCATCTTTTTTCTCGGGACTCTTCGATTTGTGTGTCACAAGCTTGTTTTTGTCGTCGGGATTTCCTCTCCTGAGGTAGAACATGAGGAGGAGACAGATAAACACGACGATGGCGAGGCTGAAGACGACGATGATTATGATGCTTGGGAGGCTGAGCTTGTCGCTTTCAGAAGAGCGAGGTTCCGAGTGGGCATTCTCTGGAGACGAGGGCGATGGTAGTGGTGGGCAACTGTTGTTAGTTGGCGGCCCACAAAGATCGTTCCCTGCGAATGAAGTTGGGCTTGTGGATGCGAGTGATTTTGGAATGCTGCCAGTCAATCGGTTGTGGGAGACACCGAAGTCTGTCATCTTGGGGAACAACATATCTGGGATCGGACCTGTGAGAGAGTTGTAGTCGAGCCTGAGCGTCTGCAATTCCTGGAGACTGCTGAGTTCCCGTGGGATCTCTCCCTCCAGCTGATTGTTTCGGAGTGACAAGCGATCTAAGATGGCCAGCGTGCCTAGCGAGGCAGGGATATTACCGGTGAGCTTGTTGCCGAGCAAGATGAGTTGCTTGAGGTGGATGCAGCTGGAGAGATCAGGGGGAATGGGCCCGGAGAGCGAGACGTTGATGAGCCTTAGAACTCGGAGTTGATCTAGCCTGCTCAACGTGTTTGGTGCTATGGTTCCCGGAAGATCCAAGTTCTCGAGCTCCAGAAACGTGACACGGCCGATCACTGGCTTCTTGCAATTGACCCCTTGCCAGGCGTTTTGATCCGTGCATGGATTGAGGCTGGAGACGTTCCATTGCAAGATTCTGTTTTGTGGATCTGCAAACTTCATGAAATCGATGAGTGCCTGCCTGTCCGAAGACACATCCGGCTGCTGTGCCGACGATAAACACCAAAGCCCAGAGAAGATAACAAATGACCAGATGGTTTTACAGCAGTAGAGTGTAGCCATTTTTCTTCTTCTTGATGTAGAGATTTGCACCATATACATAAATGTAAGATCTAAGAACATAAAACACTGTTACTCATATGAAGCAGTGCTCGATTGTGCTAAGTTTACCTGTGTCTAGAAGCACTGCCTTGCGTTGCATGGGACGTCCCCTGTCTTTCTTCGTGTAATACCTCATGACTGTCTTGATCAAAGCAGGGATCCTTTTGAGCCAGAGAATGCAAGCTTGGTGTTTGTCATGGTGGCCGCCCTGATGAGAGGTATTTTGGTTTCACTGGCCATGACATGCCCCTTTGGTCTGTCCTCATGTGAAGGCATACTGAAAAACCAAAGCTTGCCTTGCACCACAAAATGCAGCTGTCAAGAGGCTCCACACTTCAGTCACTCATGGAATTTCCAACTTTGGAAACATATTGTAAATATATATAAAAAAAAGGGGAGTTTTTTGTTTTGTTTTCTATCGTATGGCATGGATGGACGGCTTGTGATTATAATGAAAAAAAGCATTGGAAATACCATTAGCGAAAAGATGTGCAAGCAGCAGGGACTAATGCACAACATTTCCGTAATCTCTCGCCACTGATCACGTCGGGACAAGCCTTGCTTGAAAACTTCGGAATCTTTGATGGCTGCGTTTCCAAAGCTTGTTGTTTGGCATTTGCTTGCGGCCAAGTCCTTCATATCCGGAGGTCTTTGGAGATGGTTTTGTTCCACACAGAAAGCTAATTTCTTCCTCTTGTTGTGTTCTTCTTCTTCACGTAAGATGACACTTTACTTTTCTCTCATGTCTCTCTTTGGTAGCTAGACCAACTTAATTGTGTGTTCTTTTGGCTCTCAGGTAACAGCTGCTAGAGAAGAAGATCTTGTCCAAGCAGTTCTAATTCCATCCATACAACATATATTCCATGGCGGACCAGGATTTGAAGAAGGACGCGGTGGTGTGGAAGGGGCCCGAGAGTTTGAAGCAAGCCATCTCGCTGCTCGAGGAATTCAAGCTCCCGGGAGGGCTGCTGCCGCTGGAGGAGGTGATCGAGGTGGGCTACGTCAAGGCGACGGGCTACATGTGGATCACCACCGCCAAGAAGATCGAGCACAACTTCGCCAAGATCAAGAAGCTGGTGAGTTATTCCACCTCCATCCATGGCTTCCTGAGCGACAAGAAGATCGCCAAGCTCCAGGGCGTCAAGGCCAAGGAGCTCCTCATCTGGGCTCCCGTGGGGCAGATCATGGCCGACGCCGACGATGCCGTCAAGAGCGTCCACTTCAAGAGCTTCGCGGGCATCACCAAGACCTTCCCTACTGAAGCTTTTGCTCTTGGGGAGTGATAATCCAAAAGCCCACCAAGATCACCAACAAATTTCCAAAAATCACGCGAAAACTGTATCTTCGGCTCTTTCGAATATACCCATAAACGTCTCGCAAAATATACATTTAGGGTTTTGCGTTATCCACTTTTTAAAAATCTATGGACGGTGGAGATTTGTTTGATCTAACGGCGGAGAACTCGACTAGGGCTCTTGGGATGCTCGAGGAATGCTCCGTGCGCGCGCCTGGAATTCCCTGCAAGGACACCGCGGCTAGGCCCGGCGCTTACCTCGCGGCTCTCAAGGTATGCGGCGGCGCCAGAGATCTAGAGCGCGGCAGGAGAATCCACAGCGAGATTATCCGCGCCTCCACTCCCGATTGCTTCGTCTCCACCGCGCTCGTCGACATGTACTGCAAATGCGGCAGCCTGGTGGAGGCCCGGGCCGTCTTCGAGGGAATCCCAGCGCCGGAGAGATCGGTGGTGTCCTGGAACTGCATCGTCATGGGCTACGCGCAGTGCGCTCGCGGCGATCTGGCCCTGGATCTCTACGCGAGAATGGACTGCGCTCCCAATCGCGTCACCTTTCTTGCTCTCCTCAAGGCCTGCGTGAGCCTGTCCCAGCGTGAAGATCCCAAGCTTGTCGCCGGAGCCATGATCAAGCCCGAGAGCTTGCGACTTGGGCGATGGATCCACTCGCGAGCTGCGAGAACCGGCGACGACCGGCACCTCCAGGTCTCCAACACGATCATCGACATGTACTCCAAGCTCGGCTGCTCGATCGACGCTCACAGGCTCCTCGACGCCATGCCCCGGCCTAGCGTCGTGTCTTGGAACTGCCTCCTCTTGGGATACGCCGAGAATGGCCGCGAAAGCTTCGCTCTCGAGCTCTTCTCCCGGATGGAAGACGAAGGCTACGATCCCGACACTGTGACGTTCGTTGCCGCCTTGAAAGCCTGCGCGAGCCTCGCCGATCGAAGCACCACCAAGCTTCGTTTGCTGGAGAAGGGACGATCCATCCACTCTCGAGCTCTGCGAGCTTTCCATGGAAAGGAGCTCCACATCTTCCTCTCGAGCACGCTGGTGGACATGTACGCCAAGTGTGGGAGCTTGGACGAAGCTTGCCGGGTCTTCAAGAGCATGAGGCACCGCAGCGTCGTGACGTGGAACTGTATCATCACGGCCTACGCGCAGAGTGGCCACGGCGAGCTCGCGTTGCAACACTTCCAGAAGATGGTTGACGAAGGTGGTCTCGAGCCGGATGCGATCACTCTGATGGCGGCTCTCAAGGCTTGCGGGAGCATCGCTGAGAGAGAAGAACCGCAGATCGTCGAAGGAAAGCTCGTCAAGCCCGTGTCACTCGAGAGAGGCCGAGCTCTTCACCGTCGAGTTGCCAGCTCCGGATCACAGCACCACAGCTTCGTCGCCAGCAGTCTCCTGGATATGTACTCCAAATGCGGGAGCATGGAGGACGCTCGAGAGATCTTCGAGCGTATGGAAAGCAAGGACCTGGTGTGCTGGACGTCGATGATTCTGGGCTATGCCGAGAGTGGCCAGGGCGAGCTTGCGCTCAAACTTTACACCGAGATGAAAGCCAGCGGCCTGGAAGCTGACGACGTGACTTTCGTGGCGGCTCTCAAGGCGTGTGGAAGCCTGGGAGCTCTGGCAGCCGGGAAGAACGTCGAGGCCGAGATCTGCAACGCTGGAGTGGAGAGCCATCTGGTGGTGGCGAATGCTCTCGTCGATTTCTACGGCAAGTGTGGCAGCATGGCGGAAGCTCGAGAGATCTTTGAGTCGCTGAGCAGCAGCCGCAGGGTCGACGTGATAACTTGGAACTCGTTGATCGACGGGTACAGTCGCCAAGGCAGCCACCAGCAAGTCTTTGATCTCCTGGACGAGATGGTGGCGCAAAACTTTCGGCCCAACGAGATCACGATGCTGTCAGCTCTCGCGGTTTGCAGCCACAGCGGTCTGGTGGATCGAGGCCGGGAGTTCCTCGAGACGATGGAGGCGAAGTTTCGAGTGTCGCCAGGGGTGAAGCACTACAGCTGCGTCGTGGGTCTGCTGGGACGAGCGAATCGATTCGATGAGGCGCTAAAGGTGGTGAGAAGCATGCCTTGTGATCCCGGCAGCTCCCTGTGGCTGACGCTGCTGGGAGCGTCGTGGAAGTGGAACGATCTGAGCGTTGGGGAGCTGGCATTTGATAAGCTCCGGGAAGAGAACAGCGCTGCCGCTTTCGTTCTTATGTCAAACATTTACGCTAATGGATCGCTCCCTAGAAGAACACATGAGCATTCCTCGTGAGAGATCGATCCCAGGCGCTAGAAAAACTTTTTAGATCGCTTACCTGGCTAGCGAACGACGGATGTGCTACTCGCCCAGAGGATCAAAGCGCAGATGAAGAGGACGAGTGGGATCAAATGGATGGCGCTCTCGGGCTTGAGGAATTTGGAGGCCGGCCTCTTGTTGTCGTGGAGGAGCTGCCGCTCGGCATCGTCGGTGTCGCTGCCGCCACTGCCGCCACTGCCGCCATTGCTGCTGTGATGGAGGGGATTATCGGACGGGAGATCGATGGCCACCATGCTGATGCTTCTGGGAATGACGCCGTTCGCCGCTCGCGTCGGGGATGTGTGGAGATAGACGGCATTCGTTGCGTAGCTAGCTTCTAGAGAAAGATTGGCGCTCTGCGCCCTGTGCATCGTCGACGATTCTTGCGCATTAAGATCGATCGCTGCGTAAGAAAGAAAAGAAGATAATTGCTGCGAAATATTTTAGATCTAGCCGGGATCTGAAGCTCGTGATCTAAGCGTACCTTCGAGCGCCAAGCCGATCGATCCAAGCGAGATGAAGCCCTAACAACGCCGCGTAGTGAAGATTCTAAGAATCTATATCTAGCATATTCTAGAATATACTAATCGAATTTATCGTCCACGTGGCACGTCTGTCTACCGCGTGATTTACAATGCCCGTTTAAAGGAAATATTTATTGGAGAAACCCTGGGGCGAGTGTTCTTTGTTCTTTGTTTCTTCGCGGTGATCAATCAATCGGCGGCACAGCAGCAGCGCGATGGCGTGGTGGAAGGCATTCACCAAGCCCAAGGAGGAGGAGAGCTCCAGCGCTCCCTCGGATCACAGCGGCGCCGCCGAGATTCCTTGTCCAAAATCCGAGAGCGGCGGCGTCGTCTCGTCGACCGTGCATGCTGTCCAGGACGCCACCACCGCCGCCACTGACGCCGCAGGTACGTCGCCGTGCCCGATTTCGTGATTCTTGCGCGCATTCCTGAGTGTTTTGGATCGAAATCTTTGCTTTCCCTAAAGCGAGCTCGAGGACTTTGGGGTTTCTAGTCATGTAGCGCAAGAATGTAGGATGCCTGATGCTCCGATCGTCGTCTTGGTGTCATAGATCGTTTAATTTGTTCTCGGATGGGTCGATCGATCCATACTTCTTCACAGGCTTCCACCTGTGGGATTTCATGGATTTCGTGGATTCCTTGCAATTGGATAAGGGATTTCGTCTTTCTTTAATTTTTTTCTTGCCTGTCTCTGTCCGCTTGGCTGTGCTTGGTTCTCATGAGAGGCATTTGCTTAGAGAAAGTAACTGAGGCTGTGGCAGCAGTGGGCGCAGAGCAGCGCGAGGCGATTCGAATGGAAAATCGAGAGATTTGGGGGAGGATCAAAGAGGGCGACACGCTCTGGGGTCTGAGCGAGAAGTACTTGGGCGATGCAACCAAGTGGCCTCATCTCCACGCGGCTTGCCGGAAAGAACTCGGCCCCGATCCACTGCGACTCCTCCCAGGTACTCACATCACCGAGGCATGCATCGCCAGAGCTCGCGAATCCAGTCGGAAGAGCAGGAACTGAAGATCACAGCACCAGCAAAAACGATGATAGAAGAAAAGAATTCGCTGCCAGCACTAGCAGCAGCCTTGGGTCGATCGATCGATCCAAGCGCCCATGGATTTGGATTGGAAGAAGCGAGCTTTCTACTACTAGCTATGGTTTTGTAGAGAAGAAAAGGGTTTTGCGGTGTGTGTACTTTGTTTGATATATAAGACAGTGGGTTTTCTCCTGCCATGCCATCTCTGTCTAAGTTCGTTTTCTTGGCTCGGTATATTCCACGTGTTCTTCAGGCGTGCCGTTTATAGATTTTTAACGCGACTGTGAATCGAACTGGCGACTGGCTGGAAAGGCTGATTAGATTATGCCAGGGGGAAGTAAGTTAATGTAGTTTAAATTTGGGGGGAATATCTGGTCGGCATCTAGCCAGCGAATCAAAAATCTTTTCCTCATCATCGCTGGGCGGGATGTTTTTTGAAATGGAGACGCATAAAAGGCGTGATCCTGCCACGTGCCGGGCGCTGGGGCCGCCACGTCAACATTCCTTGGTTTTGGGCCGATCCGTACGCCTCGGGCCGTACCCCACTGCGCCACTAGATTTGGCCAGGCTTGCGTGTGTGTGTGTACTGTGTGGCGGCTGACACTTAAAGGAGAAGAGAAAAAAGGCGCTGGTTTGGATGGACGGGCAAATATTTTGGGTCTTTCTTCTCTAGGGGTTTCTTGGATTGCGATGCCATGGCGCTAGATCGATGCGCCAATTCCTGGCAAGGGAATGCGATTGCGTCGTCGGTAAGCGATGGACGCCGCTAGCAGGAGATGGATTCTTTTCGCGGCCGTTTTGAGAGATCCGGGCGATCGGCGGCTGTCTTTGGGATGAATCAATCCGGAATACGTGCCCTGGATTGGAGCTGGAGCGTCTTCTACGGAAGATTGTAGAGGTGGTGGTGTCTTTGCTTCCGGGACTCGTCTGGTGGCCCGGCCAAATGATTCGTGACAGGGACTAGAGCAGGGAGTTCTTACAGGAGTAGCTTGTGGTTCAAGGGAATGGATCATCATCGAGAAGAATTCCTGGTGACCAGCATTTTAATTCTCTAAAGGTATCGGAACAGGAATGTAGCTCCATCATCTGGACTAGAGGAGTTTCCTTTTTTTTATTGGGCTAGCGCCTCTCAAATCGTCCTATGGAGCCGCATTCTTCGACAGCCGTGACGACGCTCTCATTCGAGGATCATAATGCCAGCGTTGTTAGCTCCGCGGACAGTACCGATTTTGCTACGTGTGATGCATCGGCCGTGGCGAGCTCGAGGCTGAGTGAAGTTCATGGGGACTCTGGACGGGTTTCTAGCTCGGATGGCTCATCGCCAATGCCGGTTTTGGCCTCGAGCAACGGGTCCGAGGGCCTGGCAGGCGATGTGTGCACTCCCAATGGCGATGTGCCGAGTAACAAGCGGATCGAGCAGCATTCCGGCAAGTTTTGCGACGGTTTTCTTCGATGGTCTTCATGGAAAATGACTGTCTTTTGTGCCTTGCAGAAGCGGAGATCATGAAGGAGCGATTTGCGCGGTTGCTATTGGGAGAGGATATGTCTGGCGGTGCCAAGGGAGTTTCCACTGCATTGGCGCTGTCAAATGCCATCACAAATCTCTCTGGTTCGTTTTCGATCTAGACTTGTCATGGTACGGTGTAACCGTGTGGATTTTCGCTGTTGCAGCGTCGGTGTTTGGAAACTTGTGGAAGCTAGAACCTTTAGCCACGAGCCGGAGGAGAATGTGGAAGAGAGAAATGAATTGGCTTGTCTCTGTGACAGACTACATTGTTGAGCTCGTTCCAACCTGGCAAACATTCCCAGACGGAAGCAGCGTTGAGGTGAGTAACAAGTCTCCGTGCGACTTCCGTTACCTAAGATTGATTGTCATCTTATTCGTCTCAGATCATGGTTGCGAATCCTCGTCCTGATCTGCAAATTAACTTGCCAGCTCTCCGCAAGCTGGACATGATGCTTCTGGTAAGGCATTGTCCAGTTCAGTCATTCCTTGATCATTTGCTCTCCGTGTAGGATTGCCTCGAGAGCTTTCAAACGCCAGAGTTCTGGTACGTTGATCAGGAGCACATGGTGTGCTGTAAAGACAAAGCTCCAAACAGACCCTCGGTGTCCAAGCATGAAGGAAAGTGGTGGCTCCCAGTTCCGAAGGTGCCGCCCAGCGGGCTTTCCGACGAGGCGAAGAAGGCCCTGCTGCATCAAAAAGAGAGCACAAGTCAAATTTTTAAGGCAGCGATGGCAATAAATAGCCAGATCCTCTCTGAGATGGAAGTCCCCGATGCATATCTGGAAGCTCTTCCAAAGGTAAATTTGCGTGCACACATCTTTATCGCAGCGCTGATTTCCTTGGTTGTAGAATGGCAAGGCTATCCTGGGGGATCTGTACCGGTATCTTTCATCGGATGAGTTCTCCGCGGATGCGGTTCTCGGTGTCCTCGATGTCTCCAGCGAGCACAGCGCGGTAGAGCTTGCCAACCGGATCGAGGCCGCGATCCACGTCTGGCAGCACAAGCTCCAGAACAAGCAAACGCAACCGGCATCCAAAGACAACAAGTTCAATGCGAGGAACTCGTGGGTAATGGTCAAAGAGTTCGTGGCGGACGCCGAGAAGAAGGAAGTGCTCGTGGACAGGGCCGAGGGATTGCTCCATAGCTTGCGGCAAAAGTTTCCGGGGCTACCTCAGACACTCTTGGACATGCAAAAGATCCAGTTCAACAAGGTATGTTCTCATATAGAAATCTCCGATGCCTGACTTGCAAAAACAAAACAAAACTTTGCTTGCAGGACGTTGGTCAATCCATCCTTGAAAGCTACTCCAGAGTGCTGGAGAGCCTGTCCTTCAACATCACGGCTCGCATTGACGGTGTGCTCAATGCCGACGAGGTAGCGAGGAGCTCGTCGTTTACGACGACGTCCGACTCGAGCCAGGCCCTGGGAAGCCAATCCACAGATTCGCTCACATTCCCCGTCATCAAGGATCCCTCCCGCAAATCAGCTGGTCAGAAAACTCTCCTCGCGGACTTCATCAAAGTGGATCAGTTCACGAAGAGGATCTACGCAGACGCTCCAGGCAACAACCAAGTGAATCAATGGCCAGCATCGTGTCGCTTGGAGCAGAGTCCTCTTGGAAGAGACTGAGGTAGAAGAGACTCACATAAACCTATAGAACTTGTCTTCATCTCTGGTGATGGTGTTTCCAAAACTCCATAGCCGATTGTATCCAATCCAACGAGGGTAATGTAAAAGGTTGGCCTTTTCTTAGTTCTCTCATCGTGTGTAGTTTGCTACCAAGTCCTGGAACTCGGCAATTAATTTCTCGATCGTGATGCAACCGCGCTGGCCTTTGCTGCCTCTCGTGCGAACGTTCACCTGATGCAAGAGACGAGTGTTAAAACTTGCAAACTTAAAGACACGCTGCTTTCGTTCTTACTTCTCCTTTCTCTTGCTCCATAGCGCCCACCACCAAGAGATAGTTGTAGTGTGCCATTTGAGCTTCTCGGACCTTGTAATTTGCAGAAGTAGTACGTTAAATGTATAAAAAAAAAACGTGTGTCCAAGTACCTTCTTGTCCACCTTTCTGTCCGAGACATCGACGTCTACCTCGAAACCAGCAGCGTGAAGTTTGGCACGAACCTGGTGCGAAAACAGAAAAAGTAAGCAGAACGTTAGGAAAACAAAGGGGTGAATCGCGTTTTGTACCTCCTCGGCGTAGTCTTTAAACTTCTCCGAGATTGTGAGAACGATAGCTTGGCGCGGGCTGAGCCAGAAGGGCCATTTTCCAGCATTGTCTTCCAACAGTATTGCGAACATCCGTTCAATGGACCCCAATATCGCCCGGTGTATGATGACAGGCCGCTCGATCTTTGCTTCGTCTTCGGCCGAGTAGCTCAGCTTGAACCGAATCGGTGATTGGAAGTCAAGCTGCGTAGATCACGAAGATAAAAAAAAACGTTAAAAGAAAAAAAGGCAAAAGCCCTGAAGACAAGACCTGAATTGTTGCGCACTGGAACTTTCTGTTGAGTGCATCAGATACTTGGATGTCAATCTTAGGCCCGTAAAAAGCACCATCTCCTTCGTTCATCTGCAGAAAAGATTACGAGCTCGGTAATTACATGAAACAGAGAGGAGATATCAAACCTGCCAGGGCTTTGCATGCGCATTCAGAGCGTCCGCCAATGCCCCTTCCGCCCGATCCCACAAGGAGCTCTCGCCAAGAAAGTTTTCTGGCCGCTGGAATTTCATACGACGTCAAGGACTGCCTTGAAGAATTTCGACATACCGTGGACAATTTGAGATCATAAGTAAAGCCGAAAATGGTGTACACGTAATCGAGAAAGTCCAGACATCCCTTGACTTCATCATAAACCTGTAGGAGGTAATCGTTTAGCAAACCAAAGAAAAATACTGAAAACTAAAACTTACTTGAGATTCCATGCAAAAGATATGAGCATCATCCTGTGACAGCGGCAACGAGATACGTGAGTAACTCTACACAGATTATATGACAAACCTGTGAGAAACGCCTGACTCGTGTCAGCCCCGTGAGTGCACCACTTAATTCGTTTCGGTGTAAAACCCCAAAATCAGCTATTCTCAGAGGCAGCTCTACGTAAATATATATAATCTCGTTAGACAAACACAGTCATGTTGCAGACTCCCTACCTCGATATGAACGGACCCTGTGTTGGAAAAGTAAACAATGGCCGGGACAATTCATGGGCTTCAGACCAAATTCTTGCTTTTCTATCTGCAGCAAGAGGTTAAAACCAGCGGGCGGTGGATTTTCCTAGAATTACCTCGAAGACGAACATGTTTTCTTTATAATGAGCCGCATGTCCGGATTGTTCCCAAAGTTTCATGTTATAAATGTTCGGAGTGACTACCTAAGAGCCGAAGAAAACATTATTTTCTACTGAAAACAGCTCATACTGGACAAACCTCGTCAAAACCTCGCTTCCTGTATTCTGAACGGATAAATTGCAACAGTTTGTTGTACACAATCGTGCCCTTTGGAAGAAAGAATGCACTCCCTGGGCTGCGAAGGAACGCAAGCGTGAACTCTATAGTTGTTTCTAGGAGCTAGAAAGTTACCTCAATTCGTGGAAGAAAAAGAGCTGCTGGTTTTTCCCAAGTAACCGATGGTCCCGTTTCTTGGCTTCTTCATACTTGGTCATATAAGCCTACAAGCCCAACAAATCATCCATATGTTAAAGTTATGGAAACGTAAGAAGTACCTTCAGGGACTGATTATCAGGATATGATATTCCGTAAACGCGTTGAAGGCTTTCCCGTTCTTGCTTACCTTTCCAATAGCACGCGGAGGCCTGTTTAAATGAACGTTTACGAAAAAAACAGTTTCTTAATCGAACTGACGGCACCTTCAAGCAAGAAAAAGCTTTCACATAGGATGTGTTGGGAATATGAGGTCCACGACACAAATCAACAAGTGGACCGCATCTGTAAACTGTTATCACAGCATCCTCGGGCAAATCATTAATTATTTCTACCTGCAAGAGAAACAAAACCTCCTATGACGTTAAAACAGGCTTCCAACAGAGACACTTACTTTGAACTGGTTATCAGAAAAAATCTCCAGAGCCTGTTGCCGTGTCACTTGTATCCGTTCAAACGGCTGACTCTCCTGCACGTCTCCAAAACAAAGATCAATCTTGTCCTATCATATGCCTCGTCGAACCTGAACGGCTTTCGTCACTTGGCTTTGCACAGCCGGGAAGTTCTCTTCGTTGAGTGTTCTCCCGTCTTCGTAAAAAGCATCATAGTAAAAACCCTACACAAGAAAATGTTGCAACTATACCGATCAAATTCACTAAAACAGTACCTCTCCCCTTGTCGTGCAGGGACCAATGCAGAGCTTGCAACCATACGCTTGTTCTAAAGACTGGAAACTTACAGCACGTTAAATTCTTCCCCTCGAATGAAGAAAAAAAGAAAATGTAGTACCTCGCCAAGGATATGAGCACTCGAGTGCCAGAAAGTATCACGACCCTGCTCGTCCTTAAACGCGTAAAGAACAAGCGTGCAATCCTCTTCCAAAGGGCGTCCCATATCCCACAGAGTTCCATTCACCTGATTGGAAACGCTCGCACACAAAGAAGTGAGAAAAGAGGTAACAGTACCTGCGCAATAACATAATCAGCAGCCTTCTTCTTCGAGATTAGCCTGGCAATGTCCAGTGGAGTCGTGAGAAGCCTTCTTCCGGGGTACACCACTTCCCCATCCTTGTGCACAGTCACACTGGACGAGAAAAATGTTGGCTACAAGCAAGAGATAAATCCGGCCTACTCGATCGGCTGGCCTCCGAGCTTCTCGTTGCGCGCGCGCTCCGACGCCTGTAGCTCGCTGAAGATGCGAATGCGCTTCTGGATCACCGCCGGATCCGCCATGGCGGAGGTAGCAAAAACCCTAACCCTGAATTTTCCAAAACCCTTAATTGCTTTCAGCATTACTTTATGGAAGAATTCAAAAGTTTAAAAAATGGTTCATATAAAACGACAAATAAATTTCTAGGAATAAAAAAAAGTTAAATATTTTATCTAAAAAATAGAAGAACACTATTTCTTTAATCAAAATGAGTATTTGGGCCCTTTTACTTTCTTTAATAATGTTCTCTAATTACATAAATTGTGATGTAAATTGGGACGCTCTAACACTTGTAAATTATATACAGCTAGAAGATATTCACAAAATTGCATATTATTTGAACAAAATGCTAGATGATAAAATAGATATCACACGCAATTACTATGGTGCTTATACATGGACAATTACTCAAGAGCTTTCATTTGGTAGATTAGTTGAGCTTAGTCTTTGGATATATTGTAGAAAACCTGGTGGTATTTGCAACGTTTGTTTAGCTAACACTGGAGCACTAGGAAGAGAGATAGTTGGTAACTTAGCAGCACTTGTACTAGAGGTTATAAATGAGGCAAAAGGTTATTATTATGGACATATTGCTGCTACAATGGGTTATGTTGGTGTAAAGTATAAAATTGTGAATGCCCCTTTGTTCTACCAAGACCTTAATATTAGCGAATCTGTAAGAAATATCACAATGTTTACTGATATATCTAATTGCTGGATATACAGGTCAAGCCTTATAAGTGGTGATGCGTTAGAGTTGGGTGCTTATCTGATTAATTCTAACTCTTTAGTCTCCCCAAACAGTCAATATAAATTAGCTATAGATGGATGTAATTTGATTTTTACTTATCTAGGAAACCATGTGAAATGGAGAACATGGAATAATGGGGATGATTGTTGGTTGCATCTACAAGCTAATGGTGATTTAGTAATTAAAAATTCTAATGGAGTTAAAATATGGAGTACAAATACTCAATGTAATACTAATAATTGTAGAATATCAACAGTAGTTTCTGTAGAAGATGATGGATTTATATATATCTTTTATATGAACACAAGACGGATAATACGTAGTTTTCCATAATATGAAATTGCATATAATTTATACATGCCTGAGTAAACAATAAAGGTAAAGGCATCTTTTCATCTTTGAAAAAGGATAATGGAAATTGATGCTGTGGTTTTCTAGACTAAGTGAATAAGGAGAATGTTAAATGGAAAGCAACTCTATAAAAATGAATAAATCAATTCTCTATGCTAAATACTTTTTATCCAGACAATCTTAAGCAACAAAAGGAATGAAAGCCAAAATCCAAATCATAAAGGATTTACAAACTAAATAAACATTGGAGATCCAACATTTCAGTTGGTATTTGCATCTTGGTGTACATGTCAGCTAGTTTTCCCTATAAATATCAAAGCTCTTTGAGAATAGTTTATATCTACTTATTAAGGAGTTTAGCTACTTTGATTTCTGTTTTTACTTTAATAATAGTTGTCAGATATTGATGTCACCTGAGAAGCTCTAACACTTTACAATTATATAGAGCTAGGGGATATTAATATAATTGCATGTACTTATGGCAATGAATATGTGATTGTGTGTGGGAATATTATATATTTATACATGTGCAATTTTCAGTTGTATGCAAGAATATTATGCACACAATCATGAGTGATATCACTAAAAATGGATTTTGAGCACATGATTAGATGGTTGATAGATCCTAGGGTAATTATAGTATAGCTCAAGGAGCACCAAAAGGATAATCTATGCATAAATAGCCACTAATCAATGGGAATTTAACTTATGCTATTTGCTTTAATACCACATGTAATGCATTTTATCTTTCTCCCCTTAAACTAATTGAAAAATGAGCAATTACTTGATGAAAGAACTTTTAATGGTTATCTTATCCCTATTTATCCCCTAAAGTTCTAAGGATTTATAGTGACAGTATATTTAAATTTCATCCTATGATCACATGCACTACATTATTAACATAATCACCACCACTATTATAATTGCTACTAGGAATAAAGTTTGGATTACAACTCAAATCATTAGAATGCCAAAAGTGATGGTGGTTCTTAATTTGAGCTTGGACTATAGCTCAAGTAAATGTGCTAGTGGAACATGTTGGAAAGGAAACTTTTGAGAACTTTGGGATCAATCACAAACCTCTCAACCTTGATGGTTGTCAAATCACACAATCTATTTCATTTGAGAGTATCCAAACTTCTGACTATTATTCTAGACTTTAAGGATGATTTCTCTACCATAACTATCACTGAGTCTCGTGTAGGTAATATTGTTTGTTTTTGTTTTATCTTAGTTGCTTGCTGCTCTTGCAAATATGTTGTCTAGAGGCACCAATTGATCAAACTACATGGCTTACCAACTCTTGTGAGACTCGGGAATGCCAGAGTTCAAGCATTTCTCCATGAAGAAGCATGAGATAATTGGTGAAGACTACCAATTCTACTCCACATGTTCATCAAGTGCCAAATTTTAGGATTCAAAAAAGTTTGAAGCTTGAGTCTATTTTTATTTCTTAGATAGGTTTTACCACCCTTATTACTTTCTGTGTCTCTAGAGCATCATACAAGTGAAAGTTATTCTCCTTCCTTTTCAGATGGATTGTTTGGTGCTACTAACAAGAAGGCAATTGTCTTGACCACATAACTAGGTTAGTTGTAGTGTTCCATTTTCTTTACTCTTAAAAATGCACTAAATAGAGATGCAAAAGTGTGGAACAAATATTATCTATTGCAAGCTACAAGTGAAAAGTGCAAGACACAAAGCTTCCACTATATGTTTGTGGAGATCCATGCATGCACCATCTAAAGCAAGGTAGATTATAGCCCTCTTGTTTTCTCACTCAACATTTTATTTGTAGATCTGTATAAAAATATTCATGTGTAAAACAACTTACATTTGTCTAAAGATAAAAAAAATAAAAATGTATTCATTAATTGCATAGAAGTTATTGAATTTGGAGTTACCAGGAATTTTAAATATCTTAAAACCCTTAACCAATAAAAAAACACTTTCATTTATAAATTATTTCATTCTATATTTAAGCCTTAATAGATGGTCTCCATTTTTAGTTTCTTATAAGTTTGATTTGAGCTTCATAGCCTCCCCTTGCATGATTGTTCCAAAATCAGTGATGGAGATGCCATCCATGACATGGATAATAAAGAATCCCTCCACAATAGAATCACATGAGCTATGAGTGAGATTTTTATAGATTCTAGCTTCAATTAGAGAGAAAGACTGTCTCTTGATCAACCCAAGTCACTGTCACTTGAGCTCCTTCTGAGAAGATTGATGGAGATCTTTTAATTCTTTTGGTCTTCAGATATTTTTTTGGCCTATCTCATTGAGCGTGGATTTTGAACATGCAATGGGTAGAAGCTCAATTGATTGATGGAGGGATATGGTTTGAAAGAATTTCTACCAAGAATAAACTCCTCTAAGTGGTGATCCTGCCTAATGTACACCAGCTAATCAAGACTTTAGAATTTGTAAGGAGGTTGAACTTCTTGAACTGCCCACCAGGTTCAATCCTACCCACAAGTAAAATTGTTAAATTATTAGATGCTAAAAGGTATCTGCATGCTAAATGATATATTTATTGTTCTTATCCATACAATTAATATAGATTAACTATTACTGGATGTAATCTAATTTCTACTTATAGGAAACTCTATTTTATAGAGAACATGGACTGGCTGTTGGTTGCATCTGAAATTTGGTAATTAAAACCACTGAAATAGTTAAATACTCAATGTAATATTTATAATTGTAGAATCACAACAACAGGTTCTGTAGAAGATGATGGGTTTATGTATGAACTCAAATAAAAGCGAAAAAATAAAGGTAAAAGGCATTTGATTTTGATTTATTCATCTTTGTAGAGTTGCCTTCCAATTAACATTCTCCTTATTTCACTTGTTCCAGCTCCAATTTCATATAGTTTTGCATCCCTTAGCAGCCTTCCAGTGGGATACTCGTTTACACAGCCATTCCCACCTAGGCACTGGATAGCCTGGACATGATCTGAGAAATAGAACAAACTAGAATTATGAAAGAGCTTACCTGGGAAGCCAATCCACAGATTCGCTCACATTCCCCGTCATCAAGGATCCCTCCCGCAAATCAGCTGGCCAGAAAACTCTCCTCGCGGACTTCATCAAAGTGGATCAGTTCACGAAGAGGATCTACGCAGACGCTCCAGGAAACAATCAAGTGAATCAATGGCCAGCATCGTGTCGCTTGGAGCAAAGTCCTCTTGGAAGAGACTGAGGTAGAAGAGACTCACATGAACCTATAGAACTTGTCTTCATCTCTGGTGATGGTGTTTCCAAAACTCCATAGCCGATTGTATCCAATCCAACGAGGGTAATGTAAAAGGTTGGCCTTTTCTTAGTTCTCTCATCGTGTGTAGTTTGCTACCAAGTCCTGGAACTCGGCAATTAATTTCTCGATCGTGATGCAACCGCGCTGGCCTTTGCTGCCTCTCGTGCGAACGTTCACCTGATGCAAGAGACGAGTGTTAAAACTTGCAAACTTAAAGACACGCTGCTTTCGTTCTTACTTCTCCTTTCTCTTGCTCCATAGCGCCCACCACCAAGAGATAGTTGTAGTGTGCCATTTGAGCTTCTCGGACCTTGTAATTTGCAGAAGCAGTACGTTAAATGTATAAAAAAAAACGTGTGTCCAAGTACCTTCTTGTCCACCTTTCTGTCCGAGACATCGACGTCTACCTCGAAACCAGCAGCGTGAAGTTTGGCACGAACCTGGTGCGAAAACAGAAAAAGTAAGCAGAACGTTAGGAAAACAAAGGGGTGAATCGCGTTTTGTACCTCCTCGGCGTAGTCTTTAAACTTCTCCGAGATTGTGAGAACGATAGCTTGGCGCGGGCTGAGCCAGAAGGGCCATTTTCCAGCATTGTCTTCCAACAGTATTGCGAACATCCGTTCAATGGACCCCAATATCGCCCGGTGTATGATGACAGGCCGCTCGATCTTTGCTTCGTCTTCGGCCGAGTAGCTCAGCTTGAACCGAATCGGTGATTGGAAGTCAAGCTGCGTAGATCACGAAGATAAAAAAAAACGTTAAAAGAAAAAAAGGCAAAAGCCCTGAAGACAAGACCTGAATTGTTGCGCACTGGAACTTTCTGTTGAGTGCATCAGATACTTGGATGTCAATCTTAGGCCCGTAAAAAGCACCATCTCCTTCGTTCATCTGCAGAAAAGATTACGAGCTCGGTAATTACATGAAACAGAGAGGAGATATCAAACCTGCCAGGGCTTTGCATGCGCATTCAGAGCGTCCGCCAATGCCCCTTCCGCCCGATCCCACAAGGAGCTCTCGCCAAGAAAGTTTTCTGGCCGCTGGAATTTCATACGAAGTCAAGGACTGCCTTGAAGAATTTCGACATACCGTGGACAATTTGAGATCATAAGTAAAGCCGAAAATGGTGTACACGTAATCGAGAAAGTCCAGACATCCCTTGACTTCATCATAAACCTGTAGGAGGTAATCGTTTAGCAAACCAAAGAAAAATACTGAAAACTAAAACTTACTTGAGATTCCATGCAAAAGATATGAGCATCATCCTGTGACAGCGGCAACGAGATACGTGAGTAACTCTACACAGATTATATTACAAACCTGTGAGAAACGCCTGACTCGTGTCAGCCCCGTGAGTGCACCACTTAATTCGTTTCGGTGTAAAACCCCAAAATCAGCTATTCTCAGAGGCAGCTCTACGTAAATATATATAATCTCGTTAGACAAACACAGTCATGTTACAGACTTCCTACCTCGATATGAACGGACCCTGTGTTGGAAAAGTAAACAATGGCCGGGACAATTCATGGGCTTCAGACCAAATTCTTGCTTTTCTATCTGCAGCAAGAGGTTAAAACCAGCGGGCGGTGGATTTTCCTAGAATTACCTCGAAGACGAACATGTTTTCTTTATAATGAGCCGCATGTCCGGATTGTTCCCAAAGTTTCATGTTATAAATGTTCGGAGTGACTACCTAAGAGCCGAAGAAAACATTATTTTCTACTGAAAACAGCTCATACTGGACAAACCTCGTCAAAACCTCGCTTCCTGTATTCTGAACGGATAAATTGCAACAGTTTGTTGTACACAATGGTGCCCTTTGGAAGAAAGAATGCACTCCCTGGGCTGCGAAGGAACGCAAGCGTGAACTCTATAGTTGTTTCTAGGAGCTAGAAAGTTACCTCAATTCGTGGAAGAAAAAGAGCTGCTGGTTTTTCCCAAGTAACCGATGGTCCCGTTTCTTGGCTTCTTCATACTTGGTCATATAAGCCTACAAGCCCAACAAAACATCCATATGTTAATGTTATGGAAACGTAAGAGGTACCTTCAGGGACTGATTGTCAGGATATGATATTCCCTAAACGCGTTGAAGGCTTTCCCGTTCTTGCTTACCTTTCCAATAGCACGCGGAGGCCTGTTTAAACGAACGTTTACGAAAAGAACAGTTTCTTAATCGAAATGACGGCACCTTCAAGCAAGAAAAAGCTTTCACGTAGGATGTGTTGGGAATATGAGGTCCACGACACAAATCAACAAGTGGACCGCATCTGTAAACTGTTATCACAGCATCCTCGGGTAAATCATTGATTATTTCTACCTGCAAGAGAAACAAAACCTCCTATTAAGTTAAAACAGGCTTCCAACAGAGACACTTACTTTGAACTGGTTATCAGAAAAAATCTCCAGAGCCTGTTGCCGTGTCACTTGTATCCGTTCAAACGGCTGACTCTCCTGCACGTCTCCAAAACAATGATCAATCTTGTCCTATCATATGCCTCGTCGAACCTGAACGGCTTTCGTCACTTGGCTTTGCACAGCCGGGAAGTTCTCTTCGTTGAGTGTTCTCCCGTCTTCGTAAAAAGCATCATAGTAAAAACCCTACACAAGAAAATGTTGCAACTATACCGATCAAATTCACTAAAACAGTACCTCTCCCCTTGTCGTGCAGGGACCAATGCAGAGCTTGCAACCATACGCTTGTTCTAAAGACTGGAAACTTACAGCACGTTAAATTCTTCCCCTCGAATGAAGAAAAAAAGAAAATGTAGTACCTCGCCAAGGATATGAGCACTCGAGTGCCAGAAAGTATCACGACCCTGCTCGTCCTTAAACGCGTAAAGAACAAGCGTGCAATCAAAGTTACCATAACCTGCGCAATAACATAATCAGCAGCCTTCTTCTTCGAGATAAGCCTGGCAATGTCCAGTGGAGTCGTGAAGAGGTAACAGTACCTGCGCAATAACATAATCAGCAGCCTTCTTCTTCGAGATTAGCCTGGCAATGTCC